CAACTCATGAGGCAAGTATTAAAGATATCGGCAGCCTGTCCTGATTTCTCGTATTGATTCCTATTCAACTTCAAACTCTTGTCTTGGCCCTAATCCACTAACGTACTTATGAGTAGTTCACCTCCAAAGAAAGAAAGGGATGGAAAATTTGAAAATCTCTTCTTAAGTTACTATTTGATTTGTGAATGAGGATTGGAAAAAACAAATAAACAAAAACAGTTTGGGAAATTACACGGAACCTTGCTATTAAGTCCAGTTCCCACACTCTTTCTCAAATAGTTCATAGCATTTTTCACCTGGACAATTTCTCAAGATCGCAGCAATACCAATTAGCTCAAAAGGTCCTTATGCTGAAGACATTCAAACTCTATCACGAATGTCTAATTTTAAGTTGATTGTGCCTATGGCTTAATTATTGCAATTTAATTGCCTTTATGACAATATCGATTTCTTCTCTGTTTTTTGTTTTAAATTTTGCAGCTGAGAGACTATCGGCAAATGGGGTTAGTCATGGCGGTTAAAGCAGACAAGATCCCTGCATTTCGACAGCAGTTAAAATCTTTCGTAGAGGGATCATGATGCTAATCGAAAGGTTTAGGAAATTCTTTACTCAAGTAGCTTAATTACTATCTTTAAACTTGTCTGCAACGGATGTTGTAGTTACCAACTCATCGGTAGCTGTCCGCAGGTGTTGCAGGTGCCAAATTTTGATTTATATTTGAAGGCATTAGGACATTCACGTGGTGAAGGTTTTGGAAGCGCTCGTTGGTCCCAAATGGTCCCTCAAAAGATTCATCGAAAAAGCAGAGCAAGGAAAGGTACAGAAATATTGTATTGAGGAACGTGTCATGGACCATCATAAGCTATTATCTCCCAGATTCTATGTGAACCAGAAGGGAAAATAGAGAGAGAGTTTGAAACCATCCAAAAGAAGTGGAACTTTACGTATGAGGCCAAAGAAGAGCACCATTATCTTATAATATTTGTGATTTTAAATTTTGTGTGGCGATAAGAACAATACACATGGAATATTTGCTTCAACTTGTTTGCACACAGATAGCGCATAATTACACACACAATATAGTCGATGCCTTCTGTCCAAACCAAACCCCCCACTGCCACTTCCTTTTGTTATCTTTTAATGATGGAGAAAGCTCCAGTAAAAGTTAATTAAAAAAAAAGTTCAAGTAAAAGTTGACTAGGCTATAATATGAAAGCAGTCTCATCAAATTATGAGTACTTGAATGCTGGAGTTATAGTACTAGTGCATATTGTATGGTTCACATGAGAGGATTTGCGATCTTATCTATCTAATTGTGGAAGTTGGCAAAGAA